GCAGGCGTCTTTAATCCCAGCACTTGGGAGGCAGAAGCAGGTAGATCTCTGAATTCGAGGCCAGCCTGGGCTACAGAGCAAATTCCAGGACAGCCAGAACTACACGTAGAACTCTGTCTCTGAAACCCACCCATCCCCAGAGGGAAAAATGGAAAAGGGAAGAGATGCTGGCCATGCAAAACTTCCTTATCATACCTTGATCTTGAGTCTACACTATGTCAGAACTTTCAAAATCTAATCCCTTATCTGAATGTCCAACCCTTTTCTTGCCCCTGGACATGGCCTTGGGACTCAGTTTCCTCATTTCCAAAGCACCCTTCTCTGATCTTTGATGACACAGTATCCCTGCATCCCACTGCTTTATATCAATTCCACAAGTCCCATGCATACATCCCATTCAGCTCTAGTCAAGAGCCAAGTCCTAGCTGGGTGGTAGTGGCGCACGCCTTTAATCCCAGCACTCAGGAGGCAGAGCCAGGCGGATCTCTCTGAGTTCGAGGCCAGCCTGGACCACCAAGCGAGTTCCAGGAAAGGCTCAAAGCTACACAGAGAAGCCCTGTCTTGAAAAACAAAACAAAACAAAAAAAGAGCCAAGTCCTAACGATCTTCAGAAACATTTGCCATAGTATTCCAGGCATGGTTAGGATGTGTGTGTGTGTGTGTGTGTGTGTGTGTGTGTGTGTGTGTGTGTGTGTGTGTGTGCAAGCATGTGGTGGCATGTGTGGAGGTCAGGGGACAACTTCATGGAGTCAGTCCTGCTCTCCCACCTTTACATGGGTGTTGGGGCATAGAAATGAGGTTGTCAGGTCTCAACAGCAATCCTTACCCACTGAGCCATCTCTCTGATCCCCAAATTGATGTTCTGACATGCAGGAAATAAGAGCGATCCTGGTACACTGCCAGGAATACATGGAGGAAGCCTGTCCTTACAGGGCAAATGGCTTGCGTTTATTTCTTGGCATTCACAGTACCACTTGCAACTTAAGGTCTAACCTGGCCTCAGCTTGGCTGGGAAAATGCCCTGACAGAAGAAACAGCACCCTAGGATGGCTCACACCACCAAGTGTGTAAGCCAAGCCACCAAGCACACCATTTTTGTAGTCTCTTCTCTATAAACTGACTTTATATATTTCTGTGGTGAGTGAAATTATTAAAAAACACTCTTACTTTGGAATGGAACAAATTCTGCTTTAAAATAGCAGTCACCAGATAATCATGTACTACTACTTATTTCAAAATTTGGTACTGTGATATTTGATGAAGAGTTATTTCAATGCTGAGTAGAAAATGTTATTTTTTTAATTGAGCAAATCATGTATGGCATGTGCATTTAAATGAACACAGTGGCATGTTGATTGATCCATGTATGTCTAGAGGAAAAGATGCTCAAAACACATATGGGTTTCAAAAATTAAGATCATTTTAAAAGATCATTAAAGTCACGAAAAGAAATCTTCATTAAAAAAAGAATCTTCTAATAGAGGACTGGATTAGGGTTGGGGCATTAATTTCATGAACAAGGATATGTTTGTATTATATGAGTATGAAAATGAAGCGTCACTGTGTAAGGAGGAGTTTTTCCAAGAAATTCACACTTCAAGCACAAACAGCATTAAGGAGCTGCCCCCTTGTGGAGATTTTGCAATAGGTCATTATTGTGGTTAAGTAGTTACTTTTTCCACTTAAAAAACAAAAATCTTAGCCAGGTGGTGGTGGCACACACCTTTAATCCCAGCACTTGGGTGAAGTCAGAGGCAGGTGAATCTCTATGGAAGTTCAAGGCCAGCCTGGTCTACAGAGTGAGTTCCAGGAATGCCTGGGCTACACAAAGAAATCTTATCTCAAAAAAAAAAACCCAAAATAAACAAAACAAAAATTCTGCTTGCCACCTCCCCCACCCCTGCCACCGCTGCCCCCAGGATGGAGGAAGCCTTGAAGTGATTTATTCTTCCATTAACAACAATAAAAATTGGACAATGGGGCCAGACTTAGTGGTGCACGCCTTTAATCCCAGCACTTGGGAGGCAGAGGCAGGCGGATTTCTGTGTGCCAGACTGGTCTTCAGAGTGAGTTCTAGGACAGCCAGGGTTATTACACAGAGAAACCCTGTCTCAAAAATACCAAAACAAGCAAGCAAGCAAAAACTCAAACAAACAAACAAACAAACAAAACCTGGACAATGGGGTTGCGGTGAGTAGAGAAATGACTCATTGGTTAAGAGCACATTCGAGGACCCAGATTCTGTTCTCAGTATCCACACAGGTGGCTCACAGACATCTGTAACTCCAACTCTAGGGGATCTGGTACCCTCTTCTGGACTCCACAGGCTTTGTCCTCACATACACAAACATACAAACATATATACACATTAACTATATAATATATATGTATATATACATAAAATGCCATTTTTAACTGTATTGAAGTTCATTGAGTTATACAGATTTGGGTCTGGTTAATTGTAGTGTGTGATGTTTTTATGTCTTTACAAAGTTTCTTTAAATAATAGTTTGCAAAATTAAAAACACATAAACAAAAAACCTGGACAGCGAACAAAATCAGAGCGTTGCTTTCTCTCATCAGAGAGGGCTCATGTTCAAGAGAAAGCATTGGGAACTATATACGGACAGGAGACCGGGAGGACAGTGGATGCCGATGTGGGCTGAGCTGGACCACAGCAGAAATCTGGGGCCTGTGCCCAAGAGAGTAAGAATTCAAATTGAAACGAGTCACTTAAACACAGGCAGGGTGGTGTGAGAGCACAGAGCCCCGACAGCTGCCCCGCAGGCTAGCCTGGTCTACCCGCAGACTTGTAGGGGGTGCCCACTAGGCAGATGGGGAGGACAGAGATCAGAAAAGTCCTGTTAGGAGGTGCAAGCATGGGGAGCACTATGCTACGTGAAACAAAAGTCAGACCAGCAAACCTGAAATGCCAGGGCTGATGTCAAGGTTAGAGGCCAGCCTGAACCACACAGTTAGTAAGGACAAATTATTGAACAGAGCAGTAAACCTTATTGTTCCCAGGGAGCTGGAGGCAGAGGCTTAACTAGTGGTGGAGACTTAACTAGTTATGTGCAAAGCCAATTTTACTTTAAAAATCCTTTTTATTTTTGAATGATTTTATGGTACCCCGGATTGAAACCTGGGTCTGAACACGCTTGGCGAGCACCCCACCACCCAGCTGTGGAAGCTCATTCATCAGTCTCCAGTTTGTGGGCCTTCTGCTTTAGTTTTCCTTTTCCGAGATGTTTTTACTTTTAGTTTCCCGAGTTTACATCTGAATTTTTCCAATTCTTTGTTCATGTGTTTTAATCATTAAAAAAAAAATATCTTGGGGGCTGGAGAGATGGCTCAGCAGTTCAGAGCACTGGCTGCTCTTCCAGAGGACCTGGGTTCAGTTTCCATCACTCACATGGCTGCTCACAGCCATCAGTCACTCCATTTCCAGGGGATCTGATGAGCTCTTCTGGCCTCCGTGGGCACTGCATGCACGTGGTGCACAACTTTGTTGACTTATTTCTGGTCCCATCAACCTCTTCATGTCCCTTGCTCAGAGTGGCCCAATCCCAACAGTTACTCTTGGGAGCAGGAACTTGGTGAATGAGCTAGCACCGATAGAGAGAAGCCTTACCACTATCCAGAAGCCTTACCGCTGTGGCAAGCCATTCAGCCATGGTGCCACACTGGCCCAGCATGGAGGCACCCACAATCAGCCCTACCTACCAGTGTGCTGCCCGGGGCAAGGTCTTCGGCCGGCAGTCCACACCGCTCAAGCATCGAAGCAGCCATAGCGCCCTGGGTGTGGCAAGGCCTTCCTTCAGTCACGGATCTTTGCTGGCTCAAACTATGAGAAGTCACATTCAGAAGGACCTTACTGGTAGCCTAAAGCACCCACCCTAGCTGCCCTGCCTTTCACTGGGAAGCAGCCTTCCATGTCTGTCAGTGGCACAGGCGTTCTCAGGTTTTGGCTGCTTTTCTTCCTTCACCTGTACAGATGATGACATCATCTTGTGATCTGTGGTTGTCTGTGATCTGTCCTCAACATCTCTATTTTGGGACTTGGAAGACTGTCTTGGAAATTAGCTGTTAATGGGGCTGGTGTGTGGTAATTTGGAGATTGTAAAAGGTTGGGCATTGCTACTACCTTCTCTGCTCCATTTTTATATTATTTTGGTTGTGAGCCTAGCCTTTAACGGCTGAGCCATCTCTCCAGCCCTATCTGCTCCGTTTTTAAAGGTGGCCTGTTTCCTCTGCCCCGGGCACACAGGAGCTCAGCTGCCTCTCCACAGACAGAGCCCTTCTACAACTAACTACCTGCTTGGTTCCCGCTGACAGAAAACCCACCCTTTCTTTACAGAACATCATCCTTGCTTGATGTCTCTCTCCTCTTCCATGCAGTGAACATCTGTGCATTTACAGCACATTTAACTTATTTTCCGACAATTAAGACCCGTAGACGGTGTCTGCCCAAGCTGACTTGTTCAGTGACGGGAATGTTCACAGGGAACTCAGATGTGATCTTTAGATTAGGTCTTTTCCAAATTCATCAAATTCATCCGATTTGGTTTGCTGCGGCCCCCCACCCCCACCCCCTTGCCCCCTTTGAGGATTGTAAGCCTTGGTCTCTCATCTACCATCTGTATCACAAATGCCTTCACCATTCCTCTCCTGGTCACATCAGATGTGCCCTGGTGTGGCAGGTTCCTTCCAAACCTGCCTAGATCTTTGCAGAATATATTGATTACAGGCCCTGCAGCTTCAGCATCTTGCACAGCGTTAAGTCAACGCTAAGGGATGTTTGGACCACACTTCAGAGACACACTGAGAAAACCAGGCGGTGGCCTCGAGACCTAAGCATATTAACAATTACTATCCAATAGAGCACCTCCTACTGACCTTCCCATTATTTTCAATTTTCTGGGACAGACAGGGAAGGCAGCTGAAAAATCTGAAAGCTGGTGATTTATCCATTCTTGGGTATAAATGACTACAGAGATCTGTGGCTTTCCATTTATTTATTTCCATTTTCCACTCTCTCCTGACGTTAGAGTCCTTTAGACTGTTATCAGTGTCGGATTTCCCCCATGAGCACTGAAATCCCAGAAATGTCAAAGACAACTTATTCTTCTATTTAGCTTTCTATGAAAATATAAAAAGCTGAGCAAAAGGAAGTCACAAAGTTAATATACAAAATGCATTCCATTTTAAAAATGGCATTGATAGTACTAAATCTCTCGAATCAGCAAGGTTTTCCTGCAGGCAGTGGAATTCCTCCCTCAGTGGAATATTGCTCTCTGAACGTGTGCACACTCGGGCTTGTTAAAGAGTTCATCTTCTGTCTCTGGAGTGAGTCGGATGTTATCTTTGACTGGAGACAGGGGCTTCTTACAAGAAGGAAGCTTTTCAGAATCCCTGCAACAATATAATAAAAACAAATTTGATTTCCAGGAACTGATTGTTAAAGAAGCAACAACCTAAATGGAAAAAATTGGGGCACATAAACCCTTTACTGAGTAAATCTATGTCAGTTCCTTATGGGGCACATTCAAGGCTTTATTGTGAATACGTCTAATATGTTTTGAATTTTTCTTCTTTGAGCCTCTTCTTGCTTTCAAAAATCACCTTCCAATGTAGGTGCTAGTCTATTAGTTTTGGTGCCTTTCCTGGATCTCACTCTGTAGCCCAGGCTAGCCTTGAACTCACAGAGATCCGTCTGGCTCTGCCTCCCGAGTGCTGGTATTAAAAGCGTGCACCACCACCGCCCAGTTCGGAGGAAAGCATCTTTAATAAGTTATCTCAACGAATCTTAAATTTATTTAATGTTGAAAATTTTCTTCGAAGAAAAGATTTTACTTTTAATTATATGTATGCATTTATGCATGTGAGAACAGCAGCCCATAGAGGACAGATAAAGAGGATACAGTTCCCCCCTAAAGCTATAGTTATAGGCAGTTGTGAGTTGCCTGGTGTGAGTACTGGCGAGCTGGGAGCTAACTCAGGTCTTTGGAAGGAGCAGCAAGTGCTCTTGAGGAAGCCTTCTCCGTCCTTCTTCAGATCCTCTGGTCTGTAACCAGTGGACCCTCTCTGTAGGCACACTTTAAGGGCAGGGCCTCCTTGGGTTAGACTTCAGTGTCGGCCGGAGAAGCACCAGTTTATAGTTGGGTTTCTTGTGCTTCTCCATAAACCAAGTGTCCTAAGGGAGGGCTGGGGTGAGTGGGGACCTGACAGCTGCTGCTGAAGTCACACTGTGGGAGTCTCATAGGAAGCTTCCTTAGCAGTTCCCAACGCCGTCTTCTAGAACCAGTCACGTTCCTAAAACATTACTGGGGCCCAAACACTGGTTCGTGTGTTACATGTGTGAGCACTTAACCGACACAGACCCCCCTTCTAGGCTCCCGCCTAACACTGTTCTCATTCCAGTCCTGAGCAATGAGAAGGAAAGGAACTTCCGGTCTGGAAAAGAAGCTCTAAGCTGGACTGAGAGCTGAAGGCAACAGAAACTGATTCCTAGGAAAGCCCAGAGAGCTGGGGACTGGGCTACACAAGAGAGTGCTCTGTCCTGCTTCAGAGAGGAACCAGGAAACTCACTTTTTAAAACCGAAGTTTTTCCAGAGTTCGCTGATCTTTATCTGCAGCCCTGGCTTGTTCTCAGCATCATGGTGTTTTCTTTTCAGGATGCTTCCTGGCTTCTTGCTCAGGCTGCTGACTCTGGCAGGCACCAGGGGCTTGATCTTGGTTGTAGAAAGAGAGTCCATAGAACTAGACCTACACAGCCCAGGGATCTGAAGATAAATCAGAATTTTTTGTTACTATTATTTTGCTTGTTTGAGATGGGAGTGTGGGTCTCCCCAAATGCCAGTTTTAACCTTTTTCTCTCAAAGAACCTAAGTGTCCTTTATATACCAGAATAGGAAAAGAACCCATATGCAATGCAAAAATCTAAAGATATCTGCTACAGAAACAATCAGTCATGGAACAGGCAACACACTCCTGGCATAAAATTTAAGTTAAAAAGGCGAGTCTCATTCCCTTCCTCTTCACCTTATTCAAGAAGGGCTGCAGGGTTTGGTGCATCCACTAAGTAAGCCACATACACAGAAAACTTCCAGTTATTACTTTGTCTTCCTTGATCCCACTTAATGATACCTCTTGGAGATTCTTGCATTTCAATAAGAAACTGAAGTGTATTGTGGTTAAGTCTGTCTGCCCTACCACTATGTGAAGGTAGCATAATCGACTTAAATCTCTTGTTATTTTTGTTTCTACCCAAGGGCTGATTTTATTGTTTGTTTGTGACAAGGTCTCTCTCTGTCTTCCTGGCTGTCCTGGAATTCAGAGCTCCTCCTGCCTCTGCCTCCCATGTGCTGGTAACTAAAGGCATGTGCCACCACACTCCGCCTTTTAAGGCTGATTCTTCTGTGTGCACAGTAACTGTTTCTTAGGATAGATAGAGAGGGAGGTGGGTGAACAAGTCTTTAAAACTGATTGATCTGGCAGTGCACATAAAAGTTGAAAAATTACACAAACAAGGCTGGAGAGATGGCTCAGAAGTTAAGAGCACTGACTGCTCTTCCAGAGGTCCTGAGTTCAAATCCCAGCACCCACATGGTGGCTCACAACCATCTGGAATGAGATCTGGCACCCTCTCCTGTCTACATAATAAATAAATAAATCTTAAAAAAAAAAATTACACAAACAAAACCCAGAGCTCTGCCTGAGTCCATGGTGTGAGAGCCAGTTACATTTTAAGTTCTAATTACTATGCCTTAGAGATCCATGAAACAAAAATGCCTCTGATCCGCAAGTCCCTTGCCTAAGGACAGACAGTTCCTGGAATGCTGGAGGCTACTGTTTATGGGAAATAACAAGTCACATGTTTTCAGCCCCCTAAACTAGTTTGGTTGATCCATCTGCACCAGATGTGCTTGGTCACATGTGGGTAGAAGTTACGTAGCAGGAAATAGGTCAGGATGTACACTTGCCCCTGGGAAAGGCAATGAACTATGTATGGGTTTTTCTTCTTAAGCCCTTGCAAAACTTGATTCTGGGCCATCTTCTGGAAACCCATCCACCTAGTCAGTATTTAATTAAAGCTTGCTTTAAATCTGGCTTTAAATTGTGGTAGTGGTCTTATTCTTGATCAGTGGGATTAACAGATATTTTGGCAATACATAGCAAATCATCCTCACCCTAGGAATAGTCAATTACCATGGACTTCATTCTCACAGATTAATTAAAAATTTTAGGGTAAACAATCATAAATTGGATTATGTAACATATATAGAAATACTTATTATTTACGTACATGGAAAAAGATCTTTCAGAAACAGAGAAAAGAAGTTCCAACTAACACATTAAACATCCAAAGGTAAGCACATATGGTGTCCAAAGAAGTTTGAAAGTGGGTATTTTTTTTAAATCAGAATACAGATATTTTAATTTAAATTTTTTGTGTATATTTCTCATTTTCTGGCAATAAGTACACACCGCTTCTGAAGTTAAAAATAATTCTAAATGTTTTACCTTATTCCTTACAAGTGTGTCTTTCTTTGAAAAGGGAGGTAATTGTTGCTTGGAGTTCTGACTTCCTTGATTATCAAGTGACTTGTCGTTACAATCCGATTCCTAGATTTCCCAGATGGAAAACAAAAATTTACTTGAGTGTTTTGTTTGTTTGCTTTACAAGAAAGGGTTTCTCTGTGTAACAGCCCTGGCTGTCCCGGAACTCACTTTGTAGACCAGGCTGGCCACCATACCCAGCTTCCTTGATTTTTCTTTTTTTAAGATTTATTTATTTATCATGTATACAATGTTCTGCCTGCATGTATGTCTATACGCCAGAAGAGGGCACCAGATCTCATTACAGATGGTTGTGAGCCACCATGTGGTTGCTGGGGATTGAACTCAGGACCTCAGGAAGAGCAGTCACTGCTCTTAACCTCTGATCCATCTCTCCAGCCCCTTCCTTGAGTTTTTTATGACAACTCAACCAATATTCAACAAAATGCATGGAATGAGAAACTTGGGTAAATAACATAATATTATGAAAGACATAAAAACATGGGAAATAAAATGAATTAAAGTATCAAAAGGTTTTAGCTGGAGACATATTCCATAAAATACACACTTAGGATTTTGAAGGCTTCTGATCAGTCACTTCAGGAGCCTGTCACGACTAACACACACATGTGCTCACAGAGCTGTGTAAAACCAAGGCAGCTGAAATTCCCACACAGCTGGTCAACGCATCTCCAGGACCCACCCCTCCCTCTGAGGACCTATTGGCTGGTGACAGCTGCTGGGGGGAGGGAGAATCATTCTTCTTTGAGTTTATGATTACTAGAGGGTTTCCCATGCTGCACACCTACGCACATATGGACAGCACTAATTGTACTTCATGGGCTACAAAAAAAAGGGACAGGAAGTTAGGAGTAGGTGCTGGGGCGGGATATAGGGAGAGAGAGAGAGAGAGAGAGAGAGAGAGAGAGAGAGAGAGAGAGAGAGGGAGAGAGAGAGAGGTCTTGGTCACATTCCTTTGTGTGTGTATGAAACTCCAAGTACGCTAACTCAGAAACCGCTGCCGTCTCCTGCTCTAAGGGGACTCACTCTTACGTGGCAACAGTTCCAAGTCGCTGACTACAGAAAGCTGAACCAGCACAGTCCCACTCGCTCTTAGCTGTGCTGTAAGATGGGCAGCATCTTCCTTCAAGGCGGGCCCTCCTTTGAGGGCCTTGACAGACGCTCACTTAACGTCAGCAGTGACGTGGAGGACCTCCTCTGCCTCAGTTCCACGGCACAAGGCTCTTAACGTAGCCAGACTTCTCTCCATGCTTATTCCCATGCATCATCAATAGGAAGGCTGGTAAATGAAGGCAGCACCTGGCGTTTCTCTAAGGTTTCCTGTATCCTCTCGGATTCTATACCGTTATCATGCACTTAACAGTGACACAAGATTGCCTTATGCTTTACAGACCTTCACATTTCTCTGCCGTAGCTCACAGCAGTGGTGTAAATGGTAAGGCTAATTTCTTTTCTTTTGACATGGTCTCTTGCTCTATAGCCCTAATGGTCAGGAACTTATTACACAGACCAAGCTGCCTCAAACTTACATCAACTTCCACACCCTGCTTCCTAATTTCTGAGATTACAGATGTGCACTATTATATCCATCTTAAATAGCTTACTTTTCAGACAGGAGTCTGACATGTAGCCCAGGTTGTGGCCAAATTTGCAACCCCCAAAATTTGAGGTTACAGAGCTGCCCCATGGCCAGGTAAGACCAGGTAAGACTCTTAAGATTAGACCCTGGCTAGGGGAATGGCTGGATCTACTTTAACAATGAACTTTCACCCAAGAGCTCCAACACTGAAGCACCTCAGATGTACACAAAACAGATTTTCAAAACAAAGCCTAAAAGACAGTAAAAACAAACAAGACTCAACAGCATTGTTTGGGAACATTTATAAATCAAAGAAATATTATGCCTAACTATGAATTCAATTTTTTTGAGCATTAATCATCCCTGGTAAGAGGGGTTTACAGTAGGTGGGGGCAAGAGGACATTCAATGAATGAGTCAATGAGTCATCACTTAGTTTTTTTGGAGTTTCTTTCCTTTTTTTTTTTTAAGTTTTGTGAGACAGGATCTTGCTCTGCAGCCCAGGCAGGCTTTCCTAGTGCTCAGAGTGCAGGCATGCAGCCTCACACCTGGCTAGGCCTATTTCAACACCACCTTAGGGTAGAAGATGTTTATCCCAGAAGACAGAGTGGCTCTCAGCATGAGCAGCTCACAGAGTGGGAGCAGATGAGGATCTCATTATTCAGCTGAAAGCTTACAGAGCAAGTGAAACAGAAAGATGTGCTGGGGGAAGAAAAAAAAAGCTCCCTCTCCTGCAGGAGCCCAGCAGGCTTGCAATGTCCTCCACACAGCAATGCTTCTATGGAAAATGTGTGAGAGCTGGCCAACTGTCCTGGTAACTCAAATGGCCCTAAGAGGCAACATTCCATGTAGCAGAGGTTCATGTTCAATGAAACAGACTTCCAGACTACGGGACAGTATTAACCATGGAGTAGCTGAAGACAAAGCAAGAGACAGGGAGCTGATGAAGCTGTTCCTTGTGTGGGCAGGGCCTGGCAACCCAAGTTCAATCCCTAGGGCACGGTAGACGGACAGAATGACTCCTATGGGCTATCTGATCCCTTCTTGTGCACCAGGGCATGTGCCACCACACACACACACACACACACACACACACACACACACACACATACACACACACGTTCATTAGATAAATAAATCTAATTTAAGAAAAAGAAGAGAAAGGGAAAGGAAAGACAGAAGCCTCAATGTCAGCAGCTGCAGCCCCAATAAGCTCTTAAAGCACTAACCAGGGTCAAATGGGACAGACTTCCAATTCAATACATACACTGACTTCAGTTTTCTTCAAGTGGAAATGATTTATGCCCACATTTTAAGGGCTATTTTCTTATGACTGAATCCAAGAGTTTTGAGTATTTTCAGGCTAGCTGGAAGGCTAGGCTGGCAAAGTGAGTATTTTCTCAAGCTATATGCATTTATTACATGCCATTCAATATTCAGTATTGTCAAGCAAAGTTTTG